ATGGCGGGTCCCAGAGCGCTGCCACCTAACTAACAGGTACCTCATTAGTGGCGAAGCGGAGGAACATGTGAAGGCAGCTGCTTCCATGGTGATCGACAAGCAAATCTCCCTACTGAGCAATGATAAGCCAGCGCCCCTGGAGCACAAAGGCAACTGGCTGGGGATGGGGGCCATGGGTCATGACATGGGTCATGACATGGGTCATGACATGGGTCATGACATGGGTCATGACATGGGTCATGACATGGGTCATGATGTTCCAGTGATATATTTTGGCCCATGATTTAACCGTGATATTTTGGCCCATGATATCTCCGGAGGTGCTGCTTAAGTCAGAATGGGGAGATTCCAACAAACTCCAACCATATTCCCCATATATCCAGACATAGTCCATGATATTACCATCTGATCCCCATTTTTGATATCCAATCCGTCCTATTATTCCAAAATGTCCTGGTTGATTGGCTAATATACAGACTACTACTGCATAATTTATTTGGGATTGTGATAAAGTTTCTGTCAAAAGTTCTCATGATACTGAAATTCTACGGGGTTGTCCCATTGATATTCCCATTTTATTCTCATCTAACTTGACTTCTGTCCCGAACAAAATCCACCATTTCTAGAAACAAGACCCATTAAGACCTCCAGTTATAGAGGATTTTCATGGATTTTCCATCCAGCCACCTTTGAAAGCAGAGGGCAGGCAATCCATCACTATCCCATTGTCATGATCCTACAATTCTCCCATGAGATTGTCCCTATGAAAACTTGATATTCCGTCCCGAAAATCCATGAAAATCCAGCATTTCTAGAACAAGAGCTCCATTTGTATATCTCCATTTACAGATTTTCCATATCTAAAAATAGCTGGTGGATGACTTTCCCATCTTTTGGACAAAGCCTAGTGCTTTGAGACCAATGGGAATTTATCGATTGGGAATTTATGGGCAATTTACCCATTGTTTATTTCATTGATATTCCCATTGATATTCCTGGATGATATTCCAATTGATATTCCAATGGCTTACCCATATGTTTTTTCCCATACCCTCTGGTAAACTAACATAGCTATGGGAAAATCACAGTTTTTCATGGGAAAACTCACTATAAATGGCCATGTTCAATAGCAAATTGTTAGTCATTACCAGAGTCAATGGGAATTTCAGGATCCTAAAATGGAGGTACTTTGTGGTGATATTCCCTTACATAGGCCTTATATAGGCCTTATATATGGTAGGTACCTCCAATTTAGGTTCCTGAAATGGCCATTGACAGAGGGGTATCACCTTTCTCCAGGCTACGTCCGCGCCAAGAGCTTCTCCCACGGCTTGGGCCGCGTGGTCTCCGACAGCTCCGAGGACACCGCCACAGCGCCGGTGGTGGAGCGGCACCGCACCGCGCCGGCGCCCACAGCGGCGACGGCCAGGGAGCCGGCGATAGAGGCGGGGCCTTAAAAAAGGCAGTAAATGATGGGCAAATGATGGGTGAATGTGATTTTTTGCTAGTTGAAACATTGTTTGGAGGGTTTTTGTAGATGTCTATAGCCATTTTTACCCATTTTCTTTGAGGTATTTGGAGGGTGTGTATATATATATACATTCTATTCGATGACTCGGAAAATTTGGACGAAAACATGTTTGAAACTGAAATTGAAAAAATGATACTGCATGGTAGAAAATTAGACAGATGGAACACATGCAGTACGCGTTTTGAACGCGTTGGAAAAATCTTGGAAGGCTCGTTTCCATCAATTCTTTGGCCCATATTCATCAATCAACCATCATTTGTCAACCATATCCCCACATTGTTGATGGTCAAAACCCATTGTTCTTGAGTGCCAGACTTGGAAGATAAATTTACAGGAAATGCCCCTAGTTCATGCAAAAAAAATCGATGGGTTTTAGGTTGGGTATATTCCAAGCCATCCATTGGTGAAAGCCCAGGAAGTCACTGAGTCAGAGAAGCTGCCACAGAGGGAGAGTCAACCTGCAAGGGCTGGAAATGGCAAGGGAGTTCAAAGTTCTGTGTGTAATATCTTGTAGTGTCAAGCCCGGATTTTGATTCACCTCTCTGTGAAATTTGCATTGGCTGGTGGCATTTGAGTCGCAGATGATCTCTAATTGGGGGCGCACCATCGATCCTGAAAAACAGCAAGGGTTTATGAATCCGGGGTTGACATGAAGGGATTTTAACTCAGCTGGTGATGCTGGCTGGTGGTTTTTGTTGGACTGGACGTGTTATGACGTGTTTGGAGTGGGACGAAATCACCAACCAGTTCACCAACGATGATCCAATGGATCTATGTGTAAATGCAAATCATCTTTCACAGCGTCCAGCCAAAGTGCGGACATGAGATTTGGCAAATCCTGACCCGTGTTGGGACATGTGTGATATGATATGTGTTTAATAAAACTCTGCTGAATACATGTTTCAGTTCTTGATGGTTAATCAAGCTGTTTCAGACATCTCCAATTCTTCCCTCTTTTGAATCAGGCTGAACCAACAACCGCGTTTGAAACATCCTGTCAGATCTGTGATGCAACAGACTTGGAAGAACAAACATGAATGTGAATGTGCAAACACCCCAAGGGTTGGAAGCGCCAGTGCCACTGAGCGTCCGTTTTGTCTATGGACATGTGGACGCAATGCTACCCAAGCCGTGCTCAAGTTCAGCTGACACAGAGCAGCACTTCAAGAATGGCGAATTGACACTTATGACTCTTATGACTAATGGATCTATGATCTATGTCAAATAAGAATGAATAATTAGCACTTGTTGGGAGGATGATCATCCCAGCTGACTGTTGTTTTTTCGGCCCGAAAAAAAAAACAACCGGGATGTGAAAAAAGTAGCAGTGGCAACACGGAAACCCTTTAGGATAGAAATGGACAGAACATTCTATTCCAAAGGTGTTGTGAATAGAATGCGATTATAACCAAATATACCTAAAGCGAATTGTTCGCTATTTCTTTCACTTAAAGATGTTTTCTTCCAAAGTTTGGGGTTGATGTAGCCGCCGTGAACGACGACCGCCACATCAAACCACTGGTGAAAGAGCTGCAGAAATTACATGTTTCAGCTGCCCGACAGAGATTCCACCCAAGGTGGATAGCCAAGGTGCCATGGTCAGTAAGTGGGTCATAGCCACATGAAATAGGCCAGTTAAGATTATAGCAAGCCTAAAATTTTTAAAATAGAGACCAAAAACTGGGAAACCTGAATATATATATATGTGTGTGTGTGTTATATTCTATTATTATGAAGTCAATATCATCTACAACATCCTGGAAACACTGCTCTATCTCTTCGGAATTGCTATCATGTGTGTTTTAATTCGTATTTTGTGCTGTTTTTTTGTTCAACTCTTCCAATTCCAACCCCACCGCTTGGGATGCTTTTCCCCAACATTGGTGATTATATACTGGTTGGTGGTTTCAAACATGTTTTTTCCATTTCATATATGGGATGTCATCCTTCCCATTGACGAACTCATATTTTTCAAGATGGTTATTGCACCAACCAGTATATATCATTATAATCATCAAACAAATATTCTATTATAAAAATTAGTGACTATGTATATATATATATATTCTATTATAAAAATGTGTCTGAAAATAAAACGTGCCCCATTCCATCCTTCCATCCACTGGTGAATCACCAAATTATGTCCCCATCTGAAGATGGCTGCATGGATGTTGTGAATTGGCCATACTACATTGACGAAGCGATTGGATTCGTTCATCATTGGATCCCCCAATTTTTTTGGGGTTGTTTGATATGGTCGAGATGGAATTAGGCCCTGGAATATGGCGGTTTCTTGAAATGATGGATCCCCAAGTCACCCTGGGTTTCAATACTAAGTCATGGTCATCCATGACTTGGATGATTTGAGGGTACCCCCATGACTTAGGAAACTTCCATATGTATCCATATGTCTTGATATTGCAGTGGACCCAAGCACTCTCAGAATGGGCCACTTCTGGCCCTGGCGTCCACGTTCTCCATGGAATGCGCCCCAGTAAAGGTTTGAAAAAGACGGCTCCAGGAATGGTAGCTGGGTCCACTCACAGGAATTTCCAAGTATAGTACGCCCAAAAGATAAAAAACCTATCTGGTTGGTGGTTTGGAACATGAATTTTATTTTTCCATATATTGGAAATGTCATCATCCCAACTGACTTTCACTCCATCATTTTTTAGAGGGGTAGGTGGCTCAACCACCAACCAGCTATTCAACACACAATTTTTGCAGGAGTCGTTGTGATGGTAATCCAACTATTGGGGTATACCAGCTATTCATTTTGAGCCCCAACCAGCTATTCATTACTATACCACCAACCAGCTATTCATTACTCTTCAAATGGGGCTTGCCATTGGTTTCTTGGACCTTTTCGAAACGCACAAACGGCCCACACGGTTTTTTCGTTTGTGGCGGATTGCCCCGAGAAAATGGCCATGGGATACTCTTAGTTGAACATGCTTTTGAGATCTGGAGCCACAAAGCTATGCGTCTTTACCATGAAAAATGGTGGATTTAACTATTTAACCAATGAAAAATGGGGGATTTCACCCATGAATGATGGAAAATTTATGGAAATTGAATCTGTTCTTGAATTCCGGGTGTTGTTTAGGCCATAATTTCACCATTGATGCTGTTCTTTCAAGTTGGATTTACACTTTCTTGGCTGCGAAAAGACTCACGACTCACCAAGACCCTGAACAATAAAAAGGAGATGAGCCTGGGAGGTCGAGTATGTGTCAAAATTGGGCCCCACAAAAGCCTAATAGTTGACCATGTTCAACATCAAGTCATAGCATGTTGTGGGTTCATCTCCCATGTTGAGCCGGTGATCCATCAATGCCCCCAACACATTGGCCGGTCCTTGGTGATGCTATGCTCGCTGCAACAGACTTGTTGCGTACTGTTGCCTGTCATTTTCCCATGTTCACCCATGTTTCAAAACTTGGTTGGGTCCCTAGCCGCGTTTCTGGAGGCCAAGAAAGCCAAGGAAACTGAAAAGGCCACGCAACGGGCAGTCACGAATTGCGGCAGGGCAGGTTTTAGGATCAATGCAAGTACCTGCAAGTACATTCTTGATTCCTTCAGAGAAAGATCATGCATTGACAAGCCTTTGGTTGAAGGACAACAGGTTTCATTCCTTAGGATTTAGGGTTTGGACCAAAGGTTTCTTCACAGAATGGTTGCAGGGATCTCCTAGAATAATCCTAAGGGGAGCCCTGTGCACATACTATGACACCAAGAAAATTCCAAACTTGCTGCCGCATTCTTCTTAAGACCTGTTGCTCATGAATACCAAAAAAACATGGTTGGGTCCTTTGACCAGGGGTCGAGGGACTCAGACCACCCAAGCCGCGTTTGTGGAGGCCAAGAAAGCCAAGGAAGCTGAACAGGCCACGCAACGGGCAGTCACGAATTGCGGCAGGGCAGGTTTTAGGATCAATGCAAGTACCTGCAAGTACATTCTCGATTCCTTCAGAGAAAGATCATGCATTGACAAGCCTTGGGTTGAAGGACAACAGGTTTCATTCCTTGGGATTTAGGGTTTGGACCACAGGTTTCTTCACATAATTGTTGCAGGGGTCTCCTAGAATAATCCTATGGGGAGCCCTGTGCACATACTATGACACCAAGAAAATTCCAAACTTGCTGCCGCATTCTTCTTAAGAGCTGTTGCCCATGAATACCAAAAAAACATGCTTGGGTCCTTTGACCAGGGGTCGAGGGACTCAGACCACCCTAGCCGCGTTTCTGGAGGCCAAGAAAGCCAAGGAAATTGAAAAGGCCACGCAACGGGCAGTCATGAATTGCGGCAGGGCAGGTTTTAGGATCAATGCAAGTACCTGCAAGTACATTTTCGATTCCGTCAGAGAAAGATCATGTAGTGACAAGCCGTGGGTTGAAGGATGCAGGTTTCATTCCTTGGGATTTAAGATTGGACCAAAGGTTTCTTCACATAATTGTTGCAGGGGTCTCCTAGAATAATCCTAAGGGGAGCCCTGGGCATATACTATGACACCAAGAAAATTCCAAACTTGCTGCCGCATTCTTCTTAAGAGCTGTTGCCCATGAATACCAAAAAAACATGCTTGGGTCCTTTGACCAGGGGTCGAGCGACTCAGACCACCCTAGCCGCGTTTGTGGAGGCCAAGAAAGCCAAGGAAACTGAAAAGGCCACGCAACGGGCAGTCACGAATTGCGGCAGGGCAGGTTTTAGGATCAATGCAAGTACCTGCAAGTACATTCTCAATTCCTTCAGAGAAAGATCATGCATTGACAAGCCTTGGGTTGAAGGACAACAGGTTTCATTCCTTGGGATTTAGGGTTTGGACCACAGGTTTCTTCACATAATTGTTGCAGGGGTCTCCTAGAATAATCCTATGGGGAGCCCTGTGCACATACTATGACACCAAGAAAATTCCAAACTTGCTGCCGCATTCTTCTTAAGAGCTGTTGCCCATGAATACCAAAAAAACATGCTTGGGTCCTTTGACCATGGGTCGAGGGACTCAGACCACCCTAGCCGCGTTTCTGGAGGCCAAGAAAGCCAAGGAAACTGAAAAGGCCACGCAACGGGCAGTCACGAATTGCGGCAGGGCAGGTTTTAGGATCAGTGCAAGTACCTGCAAGTACATTCTTGGTTCCTTCAGAGAAAGATCATGTAGTGACAAGCCGTGGGTTGAAGGATGCAGGTTTCATTCCTTAGGATTTAGGGTTTGGACCAAAGGTTTCTTCACATAATTGTTGCAGGGGTCTCCTAGAATAATCCTAGAATAAGGGTAGCGCTGTGCGCATGCGGTGACACCAAGAAATGTCCCAAATTTGCTGCTGCATTCTTCTTAAGACCTGTTGCCCATGAATACCAAAAAAACATGAGGGACTCAGACCACCCTAGCCACGTTTGTGGAGGCCAAGAAAGCCAAGGAAACTGAAAAGGCCACGCAACGGGCAGTCACGAATTGCGGAAGGGGCTGAAACCTATGGTTTTGCAGATCCTCCATTTTAGGAAACCTCCAGTAGATGATTTTTCCTGGCCAGGTTAGATCCCTTGGGGTAGTAAGGCTGTAGCCATGCAGCCTAGGCCATCAAGGCCAAGGATGCCGACAAGGCGCCATGGTGCTGTTTTGCCTCTGAAGACGAGATAAGACGAGTAAGCCCTGGGGATAGGCACCACTTGGAGGATCATCTCGCTTAGGAACTGGTTAATAGTTAAGAACATGTCATAAGCCTGGTTCGTAAGTACCCTAAGTGGGGTTATCCCAGTGGTGGGTGAACTAACCCAGTTGCTAACCTTTTTTTTTGGATGGGATGATCTCCAAGGAAGAAACATGCAGAGATCACATCCGGCGCTGGCTATGCCGAGAATGACCTCTTCGGATAGCGGTGCCTCTGCTTCCGCATCTGGGCAACTGCTGGGCAATTGGGATCTGGACTTCAGCGCCGGAGCTGTGGCTACGAGTGTAGGTGGTGCTCTTCACCGTGCACTCGCAAAGAAGCGTTGGAAGGCAAAGTACAGCCCCAATACAGGGGGAGCAGGTGGTGACCCTCGTGAATCTGAGCCCTTCCAAGCTCTGGTTTCCCAGGAAATGATCAAAAGATGCAGGATTTTGTTCCAGATCATTCCATATCTATTTTGCAGTGTAAAGCAAGCCACAGTCCCAAACTACCCCAATTTCACGCCAGAGGACCCTTCTTTGCGTCTGGACGGAACATGGAACTGGGAAAATCTGAGACATCTTTAATACTTCGAAATCTTGAAATGAATCGAAACTAATGATTGAAATGTGAATCATCGATGATTTCCCCATGAAACCCACCATTTAGATCATTTAGTTTGGGGGTTTTCCAGCTAGCCACGCTCAATGACACTGGAGGGTGATCAAGCGGTCGACATTTCTTATCATTTCTTGCGGAAAAAGCGATTGGTTTTTGATGTTTTTGGGAGAACATGTTATAGGAAAACAACCATAGTGTGGATGGTTGCGAAATCCTGCACCACCTTGGATGGTTGAAACCCTAATTATGAAGAATGGGATGTTTACCATCTATCAACTGGTGATAACCGGATTTCGCTGGCCCATCCACCGTATGTTAGTCGGAAACTCCATGGTCTTGGGGGGCCAGATCTTCCCTTGGGGTACCTCCATTTGTCAGCGGTTCACGCTGAAACGAAAAGGGGTCAGCGATTTGAGGGGACCAGTTTTGATGGATTTCATTGGGGATTTCCTCCGGTGATGCCTGACATTTTGGCATTTTGAGGATTGGATTTGTCTGACATACTGAATTTTTTGGATATAGATTGGATATAGGCTACTCCAAAATCCGATAGTTACTCATCATTCCTAAGTGGTATACCGAAATGCCCATATCCACTGTTTATCCCGATGTTTGATGGTTAAATCAAGTTAAATCAACATCAAACCAACATGTTTCACCATTTTCCATCAGTTCTTACCCATAGGATCCATGTATGCTATATATGGTAACATTTACCATCAATATACCCCCAATATCCCCAATGTTAATGTATATATACCATACATGGATCCTATGGGTTATGTGAAGTCTGGCTCACATTTTCCCGAAACCCAGGGATGTTTGTCGATCTGATGCACTCGGATTGGGCCACACAAATTGAGCATCTTTGGGCAGTGGAGGGGGGGGGTCTTTTGAGCACAAGTAGGCGGCTACAGTAGGCACAATAGCTGGTATAGCTGGTTGGCGGTTTAACCACCAATCAATATGTCACATATTGTCATATATGATTTATTTTCAACCATGTTTGGATGTATTTGTGCAATTTGGAAAGGTTCTTAAACCATTTACTGTGGAACATCCGCAGTTAAAAAAGGAAAATCATGGACCAAAATAGTCCATATCATCCATAGCTACGTTGAATGACTGGATATTATTTGAGATAATGATCCTGGCTTTCCAACTTTTCAGTTGGCTGAGTAGGCACTCCACTTTTGCCTTTTTCCGGATTTTGGCAGTTTTTGGTCAGGTGAAAAAGGCCAAAGAAGCTGAAAAGGCCATCGGTGGGAAAATTATAACCTCACGTCGCGACCAACCTGGGATAATGGTTAAGGGAAATCATCCCAAGAAGAAGTTTCAGGTTAGTCAATGATTATTACTATTTTATTACTATTATTATTATTACTATTATTTTTTTTACTTTACCTAGACCTACGTACTAGACATATCATAGTGTTGATGTGTTGGTTGGTTGTATCATTCCCATTATATCCCGTATCCCATTGAAATCTTCCAGCTTAGGATCACCCTGATTCTCCTGTCGCCCGGTGTCGCTGAAAAAAATCCAAACAGTCGTCCATTTCTTGGATGGTCGGACTGATCTGTCATTCATTGTCCCTATGTCCTACCCTCTGGTAAACTAACATAGCTATGGAAAATGGATGAAAATGGCCCATTTATAGATTAAAAATGGTGATTTTCCATAGCTATGTTGATTTACCAGAGGGTAAATGATATCCTGAATGTGTCACGGGGATTTTTGTTTGGTGTTTTCAAACTCAATGCGGACGGACGTAAGTTTACATTCGCTTGATAAATCCATGTTCTTATCATACCCAGTACTTCCAGTGTACATTATATGTGACAACCAGGGTGGTGGCCACAGAGGCTGGCAACCGTCCCAAAAAGCCATGTTGACAAAGTGGTTCCAGGAACCAGTGGTGATTTTGTTCATAATATAGACAATAGACAATCCGTATTCATTACATCTGATTGCATTATGGAGGTGACCCAAAAGTAGACCATGGACTTTTCAACCTATGGTTTTGCCCCCAAGAAACCTCCATATCTTGATGTTAAAATGATATCATCCAAGGCTGTCATGAAGCAGGAAGCATTTTACAATCGCGGATGCTACCCTTAATGAGTTGTTGTCGATCATTTGGGCGTTACTTAAAATGGGGGCACCACCGAATTTCGTCCATTTAATGGGATTTTACCTTATAAACCTTCCAGCTATTGGGGTACCCCCTTCCAAATCCCATACATGATGCTTCGTTTTCCCCATATCAAAAATGACCATAGCTTGGGCTGCTCCCCATCTTGAGCCAAAGCAACAACCCTTGACAAAATGGATATTTACCCTCTGGTAAACTAACATAGCTATTGAAAATTGTCATTTATAGTGGATTTTCCCATTAAAAAAGGTGGATCTTTCCAGTTCGCTATGTTAAATTACCTGAGGGTATGTGAAGCCCAAACCTGAAGCTGACAGTGAAGCCAACTGCCATATCCCAAATTTACCTACAGGATGGTGCCCCCCAGTTATAAGTTGGTTTATAAACCCCATCAACTATGGTTATATCTACCATAAACCATAGTTATGGGAGTTATAAACCAACTTAGCTAACTATGGGGCACCACCTTGTATGGATGTGTGGCTTCGGGATAGATCCAAGATGGTCCAGCAAGCCACGTACGTGATGAAACCGGAGCAAGTCCCAAGGTACTTCAAGGTACGAAATCCAGATGTTACAGGCTGGGTATCAGTTATGTTTGTTGGTTTATAAAGCCCATTATCTATAGATATATGGTGGTTTCCTAAAATAGGGATACTCCAAAAATCATGAAAAAAAAATAGACAATTTTAGCGTTGAAGCCCTATGGTTTTGATGTTTTTTGGGGATCCCCAATTGTAATGAACCCCCCCCTGATATTTACATGATATATTTACCATATATCTATAATATATATATATATATCTACTACCATCAACCATGGTTCACGGTTCACCAGATATTTTACCTCTATCCGCTCCATGTTTTTCGGGATGACAAAGGTGAAGAAGGCGAAAGCAGCTGCGAAGGCGATGGTTTTTCGATCGTGATTTCTATGTGGGTAAAACAATCATAAACTACCCATGACTCTGGGTAAATTATAACGAGCTCACTGCGACCTCACTGGAATCATGGTTAGTAAGGGGAATCATCCCCAAATGGCCTTAATTCAGGTATTCAGGTAAGTGAAATATTATAATTTACCCAGATGACTGGGAATGGTAGAGATACTGTGGATGGAAGAAATCCTGCATCAACTTGAAATTCAGTGGGTCATCATACCCTTTGGTAAACTAAGGATTAGTCTGGGTAAATTTAATCACGACCTCACTGTTGTCCCTCACTGGCAATGATGGTTAGTAGGGGTGACTATCCCCAAGATAGCCATATTTCAGGTTGGTGAAATATGATAATTTACCAAGAATAACAAACTACCCATGACTGGCAATGGTAAACATAGCACCTATTAAAATCTATTAAAATGGTGACTGGCGATGGAAAAAAATGGAGGTTTCCTAAGTCATGAGGGTACCCCAATAGCTGGATGCTTTTTCCCCACCTGCCAGGTGAGGGTTGTTAGATTTTATCAGAGTTGTTCTTCTCCTTCTCCTCCTCTTCCTCCTCGTCCTCCTCCTCCTCCTCCACCACCTCTGCCTCCACTTCCATGTTCACTTCCGCCTTGCCAACTCTTCGCCAAGCTCTTCGCCAACTTCCGCACGCAGTGGGCACCGCTGGCCTCAACCTGAGACCTTCCGAGCTCAGTGAGCACGGCTGAGCACTGCTGGACCTCAACCTCGGACCATCCGAGCTCAGTGAGCACCGCTGGACCTCAACCTAGGACCCGAGCTCAGTGAGCACCGCTGGCCCTCAACGGGCAGATAGAATGCCAGAAGATATGCCAGATAGAACGCCAGATAGAATGTCAGAAAGAATGCCAGAAGATATGCCAGATAAAGTGCCAGAATGTTTGCCAGATAGAATGCCAGAAGATATGCGAGATAAAGTGCCAGAAGATATGCCAGATAGAATGCCAGATAGAATGTCAGAAGATATGCCAGAAGAGTGCCAGAAGATATGCCAGATGGTGGGGATAACTCGAAGTAAAGTAATTTGAATGGAACATTTGATATGAGGATGCTTGATTTGGTGGTACCCCTATAGGAAACCACCCATATGAACCCATTTAGGAACCCAGCCCTCTAGGTAAATCTGTAAATGCTTGAAATGTACCATCCCCAAGTCATCACCATTTTTATGGGTGGTATGTCTACCATCTCCAGTCGTGGTAGGTTTATGGCATTGGGTTGGCCACATTAATGAAATATGATGAAGTATGTCCTCTTCCTGCGATTCATGTGTGGTTTTCGGATGTTGAAAGCATGGAACTGCAACTAGAGGATGATGAATAGACATCGTTTGCAAAGCCAACTGTCAGAGTCACTGCGAGCTCCTTGACTAGAGACATTTGAGCTTTCGGATATCGCATAGATGTTATAGATTATGACGTCAGCTACTGCCCCGGGCCCATCTTCACGAACGTCGGCGTCATCGGCCGATGCAGCGTTGTGCATCGGAAAGCGCATATAGCTTGGCCGTCGACTCCGGGATGCATGCGTTCAGAAGCGCATTTGGGAACCACGGCCTCGAGAGCGACGACTACGTGATAGCGGAACAGTCGCATGACGGCATCCATGCAGCGATGCGGAGGCGCTATGCCTTCAGCGTCCGTCCGTCCTGCAGGAGAATTCTCCTCGGCGTAAGCAGCGACGTCGCCGACTATTTCGTCGCCTTTTATGACATATTTAGACGCTGTGATTAGTGACTATGCATGGATTCTCTCTCTCTCTCTCTATGTATATATATATATATATACATGGATTTTTCATGATTTCGCCACATTTTGCCTCTTGAACTTGCCATAAATATCATAAATCAAGGGCCAAATCCCCCATTTTCAGATCCATTTAGCTCCCATCTAATAATGCCCTGGGATCCTTCCCACATCAGCCCAAGAAGGCAAAGGACGCCAAGATCAAGACGGCGAAGGCCATGAAGGCGAGGGCAGTTGAATCCCATGCGTGTTTTGAGACATATATATGTAATTATATATAGACACACATACATAATCATACATATATATATATATATTTAGTATACATTATTATGTATATAATTCGTATAATATATTTATATACACATAAATACTATATATGATATAGAATATCCAACTTCTGCAGCAAACAAAAGCCGCCAAGGCCAAGGCCGCGAAGGCCACCAAGACCGCGAAGGCCACCAAGGCCGCGAAGGCCACCAAGGCCGCGAAGGCCACCAAGGCCATCAAGGCCGTCAAGGCCGTCAAGGCCAAGGCCGCCAAGGCTGGCTGTGGGTTGTCCATGGTTCTCCATAAATTCATGAATAACACAACAGGTATGGTGAGATTTTCGTATAAATATGGAACTATAGATGATATGCTTTTTTGATATGCCATAAATATGGATGAACTATGGACGGAATACATCAGGAGGAAGAAAGTTTTTTCCCGCTTAGTAGCTAGTCAAGAGGAAAAACTTTTGTCCTGGTGTTGCAATGATTCTGATTCATTGATTCATCACAAATACGATTCGTGGAGGCATTAGATGTGTTTCTTATTCGATTGGTTGATTGTTAAAAAAAGAGGGGTTCCCCTCCATGAAAAGCAACAAATGGATGATGACAAACTATATACCAAACCAGCACCTCTATCTTTTAACCAAGACAATATTGAACAGCGCCATGGTGTTTAGAATTTGATGGGATGAAAACTCTTAATTTATATAAATCCATTTCAGTGGTGTAGGTATGTCTAGACTCAGTTAAATTTACAACTGATCCTTGCTGCCAGTTATCATTGGATTGCCCATGTTATCTCAACTTGTGGGTGAGCTCTCCCTGCTGAGTGAGCAGGGAAGCAGCAGTACATGCATCCCCCAACCTTGATATTTTTTATATACAAAAAGATCAAAGAACTCAGGTTGATTTGTTTTTTGCTAAATATCCATCCCCAACCAACTGGATGGGTAGTTTAATCCTCTAGTTGGTTGCTATGAAAAATCAACCAGCACAAGATGAATTTGGGGCAGCAACAGGAGCCATCGATGATTATTGCGAATCCCATCACTACCCTCGCCATGGCTCAGTTATAATTGATTTACCTATTGAAAGTGGTGATGTTCAATAGTTATGTTAGTTTACCAGAGGGTGCTTCCTATATTTGTGATAATCCCACAGACTACGCCAGGCCTAACGAGCTTCGAGCTTCCAATTGTCGTCCAGGTGGATGGCATGTTGGAGTTTGTTTTTTGGATTGGTGAGATGCCCAAAAATGCATAAGTCTTTTGAGGATCAACAAAACACAACCATTGGACATTGGATATAACTATACGCTAACCATATGGCTATTAATCCCTAAATCCCCATGAATCCTTTTTACATGGCGATAGATACGATATACATATAGACGGACCGGGCTCGTGGAACTGGAGTGGAACCTGTGAAGCTGCATCAGATTCACAAAACAATTGGGTTTTGTTGAACCTAGAAAATTTTTCAGGCTACAAATTCAGATGGCAAAATTCAAAAATTCCAACTGAACTGGGTCGATCTCAAATTTCAGACGGTTTATTAATAGGTATTCAAAGAAACCATCATGAAACAGATACGATTGAGTAGCTAATTCATTGCGGATTATGATAACTAATAATAGGGAAACCTATCAACATCTATCAACTAGTATTTCATTAGATCGGAATACGGGGTATTTTTGGTGACTCAGTTGTTCAAAAAGATATTTTTGGATGAAATTTTTGGCGCAGATGGCGAGAAAATCCAGAAATATCCAGGATTTTGCGTGCGTAACTGAGGTGATGCGCCTGGCCCTCAGTACACTATGCAAATGCTAATTAGAACTTACATATTGATCATATTTAATTTAAAGATCAAAATAATAAATATATATGATATAATTTTAAAATTAGAATTTATATAAATATATTTAATATTTATTGGAATATTTATTAATTATATATAATTAATTATAATTTATTATTATTATTCCCCTTACCATTTCTATTACTAAAAGGATGAATACGTATTTGATATTATCCCCGGTTTCGTGGAGAATTTAAGCAAAAAAAATGGATTCGTATACTAATTTTTGTAGTAAAAGGGCATTATTACATAAAACGGGACGCCTGTCGAAAAAGTGGGCGCCCTTGTCGGAAACCCGACAATTAATTGTACCCGGAATTGATCCAATACATCATATAATTATGCCAAAAGTCCCAAATTTTCCGGAAATTTCGGACGAAACCCCGAATTTTCACGGAAATTTGGCGATTTAGGAATTTCCTAAAGTGGCAAATTTTCCGGAAAATTGGTGCTTCGGGATTTTGACTAAACCGCGAAATTTTCCCGAAAATTGGTGCTTCGGGAGGTCGACTCAACCGCGACTTTTGGCAGAACAACTCGCATCGCAATGCCTGATTTGGGGGTACCCGAATTTTGGGACAACGGGATGCTTGTCGAAAAAGTGGGCGCTCCGGTCGGAAACCACGTATTTATAGCCGGAATTGATGCAATATACCAGTAGTACCGCACAAGGAGGTGGCGGAAGTTTCAAAAATAGGAAACCTATAGGAGAGATTGGTTGTTGTGAATCCGGGATGGCAGAGCGAATCCACTGATGGACCGAAAGGTGCTTGAGGTCTCCTCTCTTTCTCTCTCTTTCTCTCTCTTTCTCTGACTCTCTACCTACCTACCTATCTATCTTCTCCCTAGGCTTCCGACTACTTGCTCAGGAGATATTTCTGGGTTAACCTTCTCACAAGGTCTTTGACCCCGAATATCTGCTCAGGAGGTTGTTGGTTCCAACGACCTCCTCACAAGGTATTTGGCTCGGATCTATGGGGTATGTCAACCAAACTTTATCTAATCAGAGATGCAAACAGATTGAAATCCACTAGTTACCATTGAAACATGGAGTGTTTGAGTGGTGGATAGACCATGCATGTACCTAATGGTCTATGTTTGGTGAAGAAAACAATTGTCTCCTGTGCCATGGGACTCCTGCGGTCTGCCTCACTCAGAGGTGCTAACCCCCCCTTGCCTTCACTTTGTTGCATTCCAGCTTGTAGTTAGGAAAAACCGATGAATAACTTGGCAAACCACAGCTATATGAGGGTTAATTGCTCAATGCGCAGATAAAAAACAATCATTGTGGTTTTCTATCTGTGCATCAATTGAAATACACACCCCATGGGTGGTGTGTGATCCCTGCTCGGCCCATGCTTTTCTTTGCAGCGCAGTGTTGGGCGGCCCAGTCTTCGCCACCTCGGCATTCCAGCCATGGCTGAGCTGGAAGTGGAAGTGCAACAAGCACATGATGCAGCTAAAAGGATGATGAGGCTGGAGTCCAAAGATGGGGTCAAGGTCTATACCCACCCCTTGAAGTTCAAAGTTTCTGACACTTGATTGCATGCAAAAGTAAATATCATGAAGAAACAACTATCTATAATTCGTACGCAAGTTTCACCTGAACATGTTGCCACATGGTACCTCCAGGATTTGAGGATCATCCAAGTCATGCTCAGAGCCATTTTTAGTTGTACCATCATATTGTTTTCTCTTGGGTGTCCAGCCATGGCATCAAATCTGATTAAATATGAGCATAGCTTTCATCACAGTCATAACAGGTGGATGAGTATATATATATATATATTACTGTTCAACAAAACAAATATATCATACATATCTTTGAATTATATATATATAGATTTCAGGTGATATAGATGGATAGATGGAAGATAGATAGACATTGATAGGCCCCAGCTCCTTGCCACAAATTGTAAAACTGAGGACATGGCTCAGGAGATTTTTGATGCCATCAGAGACTTCGCCGAAGTGAACATGGCAGCAATCCTAGCCAGTGATGCCACTCGACAGAACAGTTAAAGGTTTCTGGCTGGGGCATGCTGGGGCGTTTGAAGAGATGACCTTTTCACACCAACCATTCATCTAAACTCAGGATCGGCCACTGGTTTACTGGCAGGCAAGGGATCGCGAGACTGTGAGTGAAGAGGATCTGATTGGGAACTTTCACTTGGTCAAGGAGTACATACTTGTAACTGGCCATGTCACGCCTTTGCCTCACCTATTACATCACGAGGCGATCTGGGGTAATGATGTGGAAATTATGACTGTATAAACGCCTACCCGAAACAGAAAGAAACATATCAGCCTTCTTTGAGTACATGTAGTTATGGTACCATAGGAAGGACACAGAGCTGTGCTCTGGCCACTCATTTTTTTTGGCATTGGCCCATGTTTTCATCTTGTTGTTTGATGTGCTCAGGCCGCATTCATTCTGCTGTCGGTGACCTACAACCTTCACTCTTCTGTTTACAATGTCAGAGGTGGACGTGGATTGATTCGCGTCGTTTGTCTCATCAGGAACATTGAGCCATAGTATATCAGAATAGCCAAACTTTCAAATTTGCAAGTGGTTTTGTGAGGGTTAAAACCAAAGGTCTACCACACAAATTGTGTAAATTCATTCGCCGATCTTTTTGAACCAAGCTTCACCCATCTTTACCCCCCTTTTTCCACCTTCCCCCCTGCACTGAGCCTAGGATTGGGCTCGAACCCAGGCAACTCGCCTCCGTTGCATGGGGACAAAGCTGATGGCCATCACAAGGGCTACCCCTCACTCCAGGCCCACATGTAGGGATCCCTGTGTTTTTGTTTGGGGTGATGAGCCAAGTTATTGAATTAGTCAGTTTCCAATTTTTCTCGAAATTATTTGGAGCAAAGTTACAGGTTTTAAGGTTCTACATTGGCTGCTTACTGCGCCAGGGAGCCACAGATTCGTGTGTTGAAGAACCTGGTGCTCAAACTCCATGACAAACATGCCACTTGTCAAATTGCACAGATTGATCTGCATTTGTTTTTTGATTAACCAATTAACTGATAAATGGGTTTGGATATTTTTCATCAATGTTTACAGGGGCACCTGGGGATTCCAAAGATACCGGGCCATCAACGCAAACCAGGGGGTAAGGGTGGTACTGTTTGCCAAAGGGTGGCATTGAATTCAATTTAAGATTTGAATTCAATGCTAACCTTTGGAACCCTTGCTGAGGGAAATACTTTGTCAAAGAAATCATCCTCTGCATCCCTTTCTTCGTCACAGGACACTGGAGTGGAAGTTTGGGACCCCCCAACAGATATATATATATAATATCAATGTATGTACATGCATGTGTCGACTATACGTCAATAATTTGTTGGTGGTTTCAACCCCTCTGAAAAAATATTAGTGTCAGTTGGGATTATTATTCCCATTAATGTAGATAAGGTAAAACATACATATGTTCGAATGGGGTGAAGCATGTGTTCTCACTTCATCATGCGACAGGAGCCGAACGTGGAAGCGGATGAGGATTGTGAGGAGCTGGCCCAGTTGGAGAAGGTGGATTGATATGATATACATATATATATATATATTCATATATGTGTGTGTCTTTTGTTTCCTTTTTTGAAATGTAAAAGCAACCTGGAATTTATGGCTTACTTGCCTTCTGCCGCTTCCAGGTCGGAAGTGCTGAGAAAACCTTCTTGGGATCACCCCGGGAAGACCGCATTAGTGTGAAAAGGGTCCTGGAGTTCCGTGATGACATCGAAGATGCCATGCAGGTTGGGCTACTTACTCATGTTACATTTTCCAGTGTTGTGTATCCTCTGAAATCAGCATTGATATCGATGACTATATATATATGGATGGTGTTTTGGAATATTTTTTATTTTCATAAATTAGGGGATAATCCTTCCCATTGACTAATTAATAGTTTTCAAGATGGTGAAAACCACCAGCCAGATTTATATTATATATTAAATTACCCCTTGAATACCCAGGTGGCCCAGACCTCGAAGCGGCAGACCCTGGCATTCCAGCTGGGCCTTGGTGATGATGCTGATGACCAGCAAGATCCTCCGGCTCCTTGCAAGTCGATAGCCACATGGCTTTGCTTTCAAACATGTCACAAGCATGCACATGTATACATATATATATATATACATATATATATATGTATAAATGGTAGATGTATATATATATATTATTTTTAATACATACACATACATGTATTTACATAATCACACAATCACACATACTACGCACACATACTTTGATCCATTGTGTGGAACGATGGCAAATATGTGTTATCAAAAACATATTTGAGATATATATATATATATATATAAGTTTCGCAGTTTAGCCAAGGAGAAGGAAAGCAATGGAGACCACCCCGCACGTGGCTCTTTGATTCCCAATGCGTCTGACCTGCCGCAGTTCTTGAAACCCACCCCCAAAAGCATGGTGTGTCCCAGCCCTGCTGCTGATGGGTCCCTTTCATGTCAGCAAGCACTCTTGCGAAAACAAAAGGAGGAGGAGCGATTTGACATTAAAAAAAAACATGTGCATCCTTGTCAAGAAATAGGAGAGGAACGTAAATAAATATGAGCTATTCGTTTTCAGTATACGTAGGATTATGAAAAGAGATTTGGGTCACTGTACATATGCATATACCTTTAATTGTATATACATATATATATATGCACACATACATCTGCTCTCACTCCAGGAGAAAGGTGAGAAGGCTGCTGAGAAAGTGGAAAGGAAGCGCAGGAAGAAGGAAGCAACAAAAGATTCCCCAAAGGAGAGTCAGGGGAAGGGCCGTGGGAGGGGCAGGGGCCGTGGAAAGGGATGTGGCAAGGGAAGGAAAAGAAAGGAGCCGGATGAGGAGGAGGGAGTGCATATCCAGAAAATTTCTGGAAAGGGTAAGGGCAAGGGGAAGCGTAAGGTGACCAAGAAACCTTCCAAATTGATCTCAGATTGCGGTGAGACCCCAGTCAAAAGGACACGCAGAACTTGGAAACCATCCCCCATGGCAGTGAAAACGTCAAAGGTCGCCAGCGCAGCTGATGAACGTTTGAACAAGGCCAAGGCTGCTTTGGAAGAGTTGATTTCACGCATGGAGAAGGGAGGCAACCCATATGCATATGCGTTTGAACCTCCTCCCAAAGGTTTTCTGAAGAAGAATCTTGCCTGTGAAATATTGTCATTATTATTTTGTGGGGTTCGCATCAGTGGCAAAAATGGTCCTATGCTGGTTGCTTCTTGCCCCCACATCTCATATACCAAGGAGCTACACTATCAAGCCCGCAGCTGCGCATGGCGATCTAGCTCTCACTACCATAGGTGTGGTACTTTACAGCCGAAGCTTTTACATCAACCATGCGGTTGAAGACAAGTGGCCACAATCGGCCCTTCAAGCTGGTCTCAAAGTGATTTTGGCTGAATTTGTTGGGGGAAGTATATGCGGGTGTATATATATATATATACATATATATAATGTTATATTTTATATTAATATACTTTTATGTATATGTATTAAAATGTAGGTGTATATGTGTAGGTAGTTATATTTATTTTCAGAAAACATATGTTTATATATATATATATGATATTTAATATAGATTATATATTTGCAAGTACTAGCATTCAATAATATATATGATATTTGAAATATATGTGTACTTAGCAGTACTATTTTGGGATTCTGTAGTTTCTTGCTAAGTCCATCATTGCAACTAAGGTGAATGCCAAGGGTGGATGTACAGTGCCTTGGGGTGATGACCCGATGAATGCGTGCCCTTGCTGCATTTTTAGAGGGACATGCCTTGGTATACAAATTTCCGATTGGCTCACAAACTTAATGGTGGTGATGCGCCACATCCCCAAGGGTCAGGCAAGCCGGCCCTCACATGATCGGTTAGCTCAATGGTTGCCCTGATTAAATTGCAGCATCTAGCTAAGGTGGAAAATTTCATGTGAAATTGCGACCTGGCCAACTGAGAAGGAGCCTAAGGGGAAGGAGGTGGACATAAACAAAATACCCATCGATTTTCAAGCATTGGCTCATGCATTCATTTATATATGATAGAAACAACATGTGGATCTGGCTACCTTCTGTATGAGACAACTGCTTGTCAAAATTGAAGCAACAGATTTTTACAAACAAAGGACCACATACTAAGGTGCGTGTATCTCACCCAGGCCCCTGAAATATGTTTTGCTGTGATGCCCCACAATATGAGTAGGGGAGGGCCCTTGATTTTGATTTGTTTAGTCGAGAAAACCCGCATACACAGATAATATATATATATTAAGAACTCATTCACCAGCTTCGGAACTGTCATATACCCCGCTGCTAGTCCTTTGTCTCTTGCCTTGCTTCACCAGGAGTCGTCTCCTGCGTAGCAATGGCCACGATGCCCCGATGCAATGAAACTGGGCCTAGTGTTACATGGATGCTGGCCTTATGGGACAAACCCGTCCATCATTTTGTGGTGAACAATTGGATCTTAAGCTAGGGATCTAGGTTGCTTACATGTCAGCCAGTTTCCTTTGTCAACTTGTCAACTAGTGGGTATCTTCCAAAGTGGTCATCTAATAGCACAATGCACTACAAACACATAGCCTTTATCTTTTTGGAATCTGGCAGGCTACCTGATTTGAACAATGGGTAAGCTGCGATTTTGCAGCATGGGCGATGCGAGTTCCAACTGGGACGCTGAGTCAAAAGTGTCTGGGCTTGGGCACTTGTGGATTGGGAATTGCCAATCTTTACTATTAGTTCTTATTAAGATGTGCATATCATCATTCAAAAACTTCAAGACAAATCCAAGTCGGTGTGTTTATATGCTATATAAAAAACATATCTTTATACATGTCCAATGGGCAAAGAGTATTTAGAAACAGTTATTGTCCCTAATCCATCTGCCCACGCAGGTGCAAAACGGCCTCGTCTTGCTGAAGATCCTGGTTGCTTGGGACAGTCGACAGGTGCCAACATCCCCCTTCAGGGTTTTGGGACTTGCAGGTGGTCCAACTAGGCCATATTTGTCATATTAATTAGCGGCACCTAATTTGGAATTTGTCAGCATTTGCTCAAACTAACAACTATTTCCAGCACCATTGCTACTTGCAGTTGTGTATGACATTGCCAATGCATTGCGGCAGCCCATTTGGGGGTCGAAGCTGCACTGTGAGTTTTAGAGAAAGGGAAGCACCATGCCGAAGCCAATGCTTCCTATTCGGAGTATGCGGCTATCGCTTCTGCAATCAGCGGCCCTACTAGCTTTAGGAGCTCCTCCAGTGCTGTTCCTTGATTGAAGTAGGAAGGGCCCGTAAAGACATTCCTAACAGTATTATATTTGAATAGGCTGCCATCCATGGTTGTATGAAGTGGAGCCCAGTGAGCCCATCAAACCATATCCAAGTTTATGAAACAAGGGTCGATATATCTCAACAACATTGCCTGTTGATATGCAAGTAGTTTAGCTCATGTTCCAACTGCACATCTACATGTGCATATCTAGATGCGCATTAATTACCGGTCTAGGGGGTTGTTGTCCTAGATCAACACTGGTTTTACCCATCAGGCATTATCATTGAATATCATTGAACACCTTGCTTGTCATAAAAAAGGTTCCTTCCTTTGTCCCATGGCCGAGGTTACATCTATGTGATTGGATTGGGCAAGTGGGGGCACCGAACAAATTGGAACAGGAGATGCATTGAATGGTAGGGTTGAGGATTACATATATATATATATACATACATACATACATACATACATGCAAACATATTTGTGCTGGGATTTGTGGTCTTGAAGGTTGGTACATCCTATCGTTGGCATGATTACGTGTAAAAAATTGATCATTTGCGATGCATATATATATATATGGAAGATAAATAGGTTCAACTGCACCCTAGTTGGCCCTTTTTTTCGGTTGGGATAATTACCTAGGTCAATCAATTACCTGGGCCTTACCCAGTCTCCTGGTCCCAGGACATTCTCTGCTTCGAAATGTACTGTGGAATTGGACAAGTGGTGCGAGAGTTTCGAACCTTGGTGGAACACCGAAGTTTACCACTGGGATTCCTTTGAGCACTGCAACATTTGATTTTTACATGGTTTTCACCAATGCCTTATCCCCAAAGAAAATCAATGTCCCCATCCTGCCTCGCATTGCTGCCCAAAGTGGGGCCCAGGAACTCGAGGAGCCCCAGCGTATCTTGTCTTCAGCTTCATCCTGCCCCAGAACTAGCATGGTTATTGGGAAGGTGCCCCAAAAAGTTAAGAGCTGGTGTTTCCAAGTTACACTTTGGTTATGGGCAGGGGGGATCTAAAGGTTACCCTGGGATTACAGATGTTGCTAAATGGAAAGGATCCGGATATCAAATGTAAGGATAGTTGAATCTGAAGACCCTTTCTATCTTGAGGACCTGTTTCACATTGGTGGTCTAAGAAGGTTCACAATTTCAGGCCTTGAAAATTTAAACTTGTCTGTTCCTGGAAATCACCCACTGAATAGGAACAAGATACTTTTGGGGGGCTTGGCTAGAAGGAAAAATATGTTTTCCTTGGAAGGGTCACCATCCATATGGTAATACTATGCTGACATTGGGCATGTCCCTATTGATTGGTTTCCTTTAAACTTATCAATTCTCACATGGGGAACATATGTATATATAAATACTGTTTCTTAAAGGTGTTACACCGCTTATCTGAGGCAGGGCTTTGATAACCAGAGAGACATGGTTTTGGAGGACATCACTTCGACTATGGGCCTTGTCCGAGCAGTTACTAATTGTCTGAGGCTACAAAGGCGTGGTCTCCTTTTTTTGGGACTACCATGCAATTCGCATACTTGGATGTCCTCTAGCCAGCATGGAAGGGGACCTACTTTGCCCTTTGGAAATGAAGTCTGGGGATTCGTGGTCCTAGGCAACCAAATAGCTTACCGCTCAGCAATCATGATTATGATAGCCCTGGTTCGTTCTTGCCTGTGGTTGCTGGAGAATCCTGGCAATTCCAAGTGCACCTACTTACCGGTGTTGGAACAGCTGTTGTCCTTCAAGAAGCTGTTGGGATCATCATCCACGAACTGGTCTGGGCCATAGCTTTGAATATTTGTTTGGCCATTGGCATTTGTTATTTTTCCTTAACCATTTGACTACATATATATATATATAGTATTCATGAATAAACAGAAAGTTAGTTCCTAAGGACAAATGCCAGTGTCTTTGCAACAGGTGTATCATGTTGACAACCTCACTGTCGATGCATTTTTAAATGTGTTGTTTCAACAATTGATTCAAAGTAAGGTGGATGGGATCATTTGGATCTTGGTCCTTGAAGAGGGAACTGGCTCTAGGGAATGCGCCACCAGCTTAGCCAGCCATTCAAAACAGTTCGATGCAATCTGGGCCAGCGATAAAACAGTATAACATCATTTTTATTATTCTGTGCCCAGGCCCTACATGGGCCAGCTACAAGAGCCTATGTCGAAGGAAACCCGTGAAGCAATTGAGAACCGCAAGACTATCCTCGGAAAGCGCATGGTGAAAGTTACTATTTCCAAAGATGGAACTAAGTCAGTGTAGGGGCCTTACCTCTTCGATGTTGTGCCATAATGTTGAAGTTGAAATGTTTTCCACACCAATAAGTTAACTATACCCTTGAAGCATCTTGTCCTGAGGTCTGGTGACAAAACCCACATGCGGTCATCAGCTGCATACCCAAGACTTTTTGGGTCTCGAATTGCTGAGCTACATCTTCAATGGATGGTCGCTTGACAACATATTTATTTATATTTCTATATAATATATATTGAATCAAAATAATCAGGCAATTCTCTAATATTATAAGTACAAACTTTAAAGCCTGGAAGCATGATGGACTGGCCGAAGTGGCACCATTGCTGGTTGTAGCACGTAGCATCTCTGGCAACCCACCTTGACGTGGAACCCAGCATTCTTGCTGATGATTCCCGTGGCTGCACTATTCGTCCATCGTTCTGATTTTGCTGAAGCCTCATAAGTCAAGATTGGGCTGCAAGTAGTTGCAAGTTTCGGTGCTTCCAAATCCACCCCAAGAGTCATCCACATGCTCGGTGCATCAATTTCACGAAGGAAAGAGGCTCAGGTGTTGGAAATTCTTTTTCAATTTCCATTTGGGAATGTCTCAGAATAGGGATGCCACAACTGAGTGCCCCAAGCCCTTCTTTTGTAACTAAAAAAAAGTGAGCTTGGGGCACTCCTCTTTTGAGACATTCCTATTTAAGGAATATGGATGGTTCCCTTTAAACTTGAAGAGTTTGACTCCATATATATATAATAATGATATATATATATAGGGGGTTCAACTTAAAAAGGGATACCAACAGTGATGGTCTCCACAGGAATGGTTTTAGACAACATTTTTTGAACATAAAAACATTGTGTTCAACAACCATCCAGTTTGAAATCAGAATTCAAGGGAAACTTCCTGTAAGTGCAAATCTACATAGACTCCGTACAAGTACAGGTAGCACAGATTAAGTAAAACAAACTATATATATATACAAAACAAAATTTCCTTTGAAAGGGGTCCTCAAGGTGAAAAGGGTCCTGGCCTAGAAGCCTCCAAGATTAATTTCGACCGAGTTTTTGCCTTTGTATGAAAAACTCGGTCGAAATTAATCTTGGGGGCTTCGCGCGCATATAAGGAACATTCTTGGCCAGGACCTCTTTCACCTTGGGGGCCCTCTTCAATGAAATCTTGTTACAAATACATTTTGATTTGTTATGTACATGTGGATTAGGCTTACTTCCTGCCCACCCAGGCGAGTGACGAACCTGTCCCAGACCTTGCCGAGGTGGTCATGGCAGGCTTTCATGTGCCTTGGCTTTGTGCTTCGAGGGGTGCTTGATGGCGTTTGTGGGTCCCTTTGCTGATGCTTTTGGGGTACATTGGGTCTTTCAGCTATGTGGGTAGAGAATTGGTAATGGGGACCAATGAAAATGTTAATTCGTTTTTGTGGAAGGAAACCCACTGAGTAAATGATAGATATAGCAATTTTCCCGCAAGGGGTGGTTCCTTTTTGCTTGTCTTTAGCTCTTTTGGCAGTGCAGTGGCAAACCAACAGGAAAATTACAAGATAGATATATAATATTACTAGATGGATGGATGGATGGATGGATGGGTAGGTATAGATAGATAGCTAGATATATGTAGATACAACGCATCCACAAAGATAGTTTCTGGAATCGAAGGAAACCCATTGAGCAAGTGTACATACCTATAGAATTTCACTTGCACTCCACTTGAACCCAGTCAGGCGTCAGGTCCATTAAATCCACATATCTTTGGTACCCCCTGTGAGGAAATTGGTGGAGATTGGTCCCGAGCTGGCTTGGAACCTATAGTGGCGTTGCTGAAGGAAGCTATCGACCAAAAAGTTTTCACCCCGGACCCGCTGATTCCTTTACAGATTGAACCTTCACGAGAATGTTTCGAGAGGGTCAAATCCCAATGGATTCAATCCCAAGTGGGGTCCACAGCTGTGGCCTAAGGTCCAGCCCCAATCCTTGGCCGAACTTGCTCTTGCTTTTTGGGGGTAAATCATGATATTGAAAAATATATCATGTAAATATTAATCACCATAACCTATCAACTATATGTTTGCCCTCTGTGCTCAAAGCAGGGTGCAAAGAGATGGCTGAGTAAATTCAAGCTTGGTAATTTGAAATCGCTGCCAACATTACGGTTGCCAGTCCCTGCAGTGTCAAATTGAAGATTCGATGATGATTTGCAAATCCACAACGCAGCAGCTAAAAAAAGTGTTTGATTCCAAACCTGCAGCTGCTATTTACTCCAAATGTTCCGGATCAACATTGAACTTCCAACTACAAAGATAAACATCTGTAGTGGTGTGGGAGAGATGTGCAGAAACGGATATGATTTTGATTTGGGGGTTACTTTTCCATCTTTCTCCCTGCCTGATGCCCTTGAACTATTTAGCGCCCATCCCTTTTGCTTATGTGTGAACTAATTATGCATATTTATACTTTGTTTAAGCTATATACTTCCACCCTCGCGATGTTGAAGCCAAGCAGTGGAATGGTGAGATGCTCATGCCAGCGGGATGGCCATTCCCACAGTGTGGTGTGAAAGTTCTTCACAACTGTGTCTTTTGGAAGACATAGCCATTTGGGATGTAGATCCAAGTACAATTTCTCGAGCTCTTCAACCAGCCAAAGTGTCTCCCACAAGCCTCTGCTGTAGTTAAGGCAATGCTTGTGAAGATACCCCAACAACGTGTAAGCACACCAGCCAGTTGAACCTCCATAGATTTGCGCCCGAAGAAATGCGAAATGCATATGGCCGAAGAGTTAGGCACAGCTATACGCTATATATATGTATATATCTCACTTTAAACTATATGTGCTACCTCTTTCTCCTCTCACCCTCTCCGTTTGATGGAAAAGTCAACCCTTTGAAGCCTTGAAAGTGTTCACTGGCTGTGATATATAGTGCAAAACCACCAAAATGTGATGGATTATGGAATCTTCAAGGCATTACCCATGCCAATGTGAGCATTAATAGTATCAACACTGCTATTTTTACGTTTTTTCCTGCCTCTGTAGCCTTTTTTTTGGCGATTGGGAGCGTTTTGGCCTGGTCCTGGCCAGTGGAGGCGGGGTCTGAGGGGGTCCCAGGTAGCGCGTTAAATTGCGTTAAAAAAGTCTCCTGAGGAAGTTTTGCGCGTTAAATTGCGTTAAAATGCGTTAAATTGCGTTAAAATTTATTCCTGGGGAGGGTCTGGGGGGGTCCGGGGGTGGGTCTTGGGGGGGTCTGGGGAGGGGTTTGGGGGGTGGGTTGAATGGAGGGTTGGGGAGGTGTGTGTGGGAGGGTCTGGGGCGGTCTGGGGGGTGTTTGGGCGGTGCTTGTGGAGGGTGTGGGTTGGGGTTTGTTGGGGGGGGGGGGGAGGGGAATCTGGTGGGGAGCCGGGGCAAGGAGGATCCAAGCCCTGTGTGAAGGGTTTAAATTGGGTGAAAAAACAACTGGATGATGAGGATTGTGTTATGGGATTGTTATGTGGGTGCCCATCGGAGAGTTTTAGGTATAAGTTGGCCTGTGTGGTGGCTATGTTGGGCCTATGCTGGGCCATTTGGATGGTATCATGGAACTCTCTGGGTAAGTAAAATAACAGCATCTATAAGGATCTTATGATGTGGGGTGTTGGAATCCTTTCTTTGGGTGTCAGTTAGGCCATTTAGGGGTCTATGTTGGGCTTCAGTTGGACCATATAATATAAGGCCAGTACCTGCTGTAAAGTTATTCTTCTATTCTCTTACCACATTATTCACTTGTAGTCAAAGAATGGCTTCTTGTTGCACATGTTCAACATTAGCAATGTTATTTTGTGCGGTTTGGGTAATGGCAAACCAATTGGGAAAACTGCACATCAACATCACTGGTATCCAAACCCACCTCCTTGAAGGGTATTACTCTTGAGATTGACAAAGTGTTTGTATCCAATTCGTTTGTGGCAGGTGTACATGGCACCTTCAAGTTCAAAGCAGAAGACTGTTCCTTCGAAGTTGTCTGTACCTTGGATGTACATCTAAAAAATGATGGGAATGCATCCTAATATTACTTCGGTTTTATGTCAAGTGTATTGGAGCTATCTATCTATCAATCAATCAACCAATCAATCAAATCAATCAATCATATCTATCTATCTATCTATCTATCAATCAACCAATAAATCAATCAATCAATCAGTCAATCTAACAATCAATCATATCTATCTATCTATCTATCTATCTATCAACCAATCAATCAAATCAATCAATCAATCAATCATATCTATCTATCTATCAATCATATCTATCTATCTATCTATCTGTCTGTCTGTCTATCTATCTATCTATCTATCAACCAATCAATCAAATCAATCAATCATATCTATCTATCTATCTATCTGTCTATCTATCTATCTATCTACCTATCTATCTATCTATCTATCTGTCTATCTATCTATCTATCTATCGATCTATCTATCTATCTATCCTAGGCTAGGCTAGGCTAGGCTAGGCTAGGCGCATCACTATTGGAAGGAATCTATGTCAATGAACCAAGAGTGTCCAATATAACTTGTAGATCTTTAGCTCCCATCTTAGCCTCCTGGCGGCCCAAGGCAGCGAAGTCCAAAGCCATGCAGCCAGCTCCCGCTCCTGCAGCGGCTTTGTCGCACTCATCGAAGGACCACTTTGATGAGGACGCAGAGATGAAGAAACTTGAAGAACGCATGATGAAGAAAGGCCACTAGCTGGCATGGAGTTAAACAAGTTAAATAGTGATTCAGCTGGGGGTTGTCGAAGTATTTCAAATTAATCTGAAATATCTTTTTTGGGGATGCTTGGCCCATGATTTCAAGAGAAAAGTGACTGTTACATCTGCATGCTGCCTGAAGGTACCTTTTTTTCCAGTGGGTTCCAATGCTCAAGAGGTTTGACCCTTGCTGGTCCTGGACATTTTTGAATTAAACAAACGGTTTGTGAACCTGTCCCCTATGTTTATGTTGATTTCGATGGAAATATATCATTAAACAAGTGGCCACAATTTTGTCACTTGCTTTCAAGGCCCCACAAAAAGGAGGTCCCCAACCCGTCTTCACATAACTGAGGTGAGGCTGCCCCAAAGATGGTTGCAACCCCTCAAAAGGCTCCCAGAAGTGCCCATGAGTTGAGCCCTGCTCCAGAAGGAGGTTCGAAGAGTAGAGTTAGGTGTAAGCCTGCTATTCCATCAAAGGTGGCAACTCCTGTCAAAAGCCCTGACCCCAAGAAGTCCAAGACCGTTGCTCCTGATGTGGTGCTCGAGGTTCCCGATGACTCTCAAGGACCTGCGGCAGGGGATGAGGTTGGATCTGTTCCCAAGGATGGCTCGATGGTGGAACCTTCTACCGGTACCTGTGAACATGGAAAGCAAGGGGAATCTTTGCGCAATTTTATACAGACACCGGTTTATCCTGCACCATTTTTTTACTGGGGTATGTGCTAGCAAGAGAAATATTATATGTTATTATGTTTTATAAGTAGGTGTGTTTTTAGTTGCACCTCCTTGCCCCTAGATTTAACTTGCGTGTCTTAGGAACAGATTTCTGGTTCCGAAGATACGCCAATGGAAGATGCAGGTTGGGGAAGTTGGAGCTTGTGAGTGGTTCATCTTACAGAAGCATATCTTATAGTTACAATGGGGATCTATTTCATTACAAAATCCAAAAAAAAAACATTACTTTTGAAGTGGACTCTGGAAGGAGATATCTATATATCTATATATATATACATAGTTTTTTTGGGGGGGGGTGGGGGTACACCAGCATTATGCTACCTGGCTTTCTTTGACATACATGTGGGAATGTTTCAATGCAGGTGGGTCCTGAAACTTTATGTCTTGATGATTAAAACCCAAGTTTTGGAATATCCCTGTTTTGACACATTCCCATAACTCCAATATCATGTAATGGTCAAAATATACATCTTAGAATAAGATTGCAAACCAGAAATGCCTATTACTGTAATAGATTGTCTATTCTAAATGACCACCATTTGTTTTTGGTTATTTCCAAAATTCTTGGCCAGGTGAATGCAAGCCGACGCTCATGTCCAACGGCAGCAATGGGAGTAATTTGGCAGCATCATAATAATGATTTACATGAATATTTCACGAGAATCCAAAATTATTGGAAGAGGAAGATTGAACATGAAATCAACATTTGAAGTCTTGGCCGACCAAGAACAGCAACTTTATTCTAAGGTGCAGAGCTGCGCCGCATTGACACCACGACTACGGTCCCTGATATCGGACTTGAATGCCACTTGTTTATGCAGCAGCTGGTTGGTGACCATGACGTGGAAGCTCGGGAGAGGCTGCATATCCAAATTTCCCACTGGTTTGAAAAAATGCGTTCCTGGTATGCCGAAGAAGGAGACATTTGGGTATCTCGACTTGACCCAGTACTGAAGCCCCATTGTGAATCTTTGGTGGTCTTGCTGAATGAGAAAGATGCCCAAATGGCCAATCTACATCTAGCCCAGTTGGATGAGAAGCCTAAGATAGATGAGGTGGAAAAGGGGTACAAGACCATGTTGGCCAAGTTACCGGAAATCATCAAGAAGAACAACGAGGATCCCAAGTCCCTGGATTCCCGTACTTTTTCCCTTCTTCAGTGGAAAAGTGGAAAGATGGATTCCATCAAGTCGGCAGGGAAAAAACTTGAAGCCGAACTCAGTTCCCTTAGTCTCAAGATCCGTGCCTGTATGGACCTGCTGATTGATGCTGTTCAAAAGGCTGACAACGTAGATGAGTGCATGGAAGTTCAAACGGATCAACAAGTACCAGAAAAAAATGATGATGATGTGATTATGACGGAGTTGGAGGCTTTGATGGCCCAGTGCGTTGTCTCCAATGGTCCAGATGTTGGTGACAGCTTCCTTCGTGAACCAACTTTGGTTCTTGGGCAGGGGGACACAGGTGCCAACCAACAAGATGCCCCTATGGAATCCATGCCGCAAGATGCCCAGACTCCCCCGAGCCAGGAACCAGTTGTGGAACCTTCCCAGACTGTTGCCACCCCCGGTGCTGATTCTGCTCAACTTTCCCCAGAAGAAGCTGCTTTGAAGCATCTTCAAGATATGGAGGATGGCCCTTTGAAATCATCATTGTTGGCCCTTGTGTCCCAGGCCGGGAAATGTGGGATTTTGATGTTTCGATTAGTTATTAATGTGTGGAACATATCAATCAACATGAAACCCTCCATCCCTTCCAGTGCTGGGTCTTGCCTTGTCCAACAGGGTGGAGCTCGACCGGCTCCCTCCAGCAACACTCCAAGTGCTCCTGCTGCAGCTGAAACAGCAATGCGCAGACAGGATACAACCCAGTTGCAGGCTGGATAACCCGTTGATGCATATATATTAGATACACATATATGTATATACTACATGGATACTATATATATATAATATAATCAATAAATCGAAGATATTTATATATATATATATCATCTATAATTGATTGTTTTCTTGACCCTAATATTCTATATATATATATATGTTAGCATCAAATCATCTGATCTTTGCAGGCGCAACACCATGCCGTGGATGCTGACGCAATCCCGCAGCCAGATGGGACCTTTTTGTACAGGGGGCCCAAGGGTCGCTTGGAAACTTGGGCTGAGAGGGAGTATCGACTTGCACACAATCAAAAAATGTGCTTCAATCGTTCATTCCGCGACTTATCATACATTATATAGCATTTTTCATTATAATTACTTTTGTTCAATCTTATAGTATGTATGAGGGTGGCAAAGTATTTGGGCCTCTTGTTCGCAATGCTACTTAGGCAATGCTCCGGATGAGGTCGTTCGTGCATCGGCCAACAGAAAGTACAGTTTCTTGGTGCAATTACATCCCATAATTATTATTCCCGAACCATCCTATTACCCAGATTCACTTATACAAAAGGCATTGACCTATCATTCCACTGAGATCGGGATCTTCTTGCACTTCTTTACGAGGACTGGTTGAGTTCTGGGCAATGCTGGGCCAAGTCAGCAACATACCTGAATGCTATCAGGTCCAAGGAAGAGAGGAAACGTGGGACTTTCGTGATGCGTGACAAGACATGGTTGATCGAAAAGTACACAGAGCCAGTAGCGAAGGATATTATGCAGGACAAAAGGGCCAAACAGAGTGCCCGGAAGACACATGACCCGATTTACGTCATGGACAACCCAGACTTGCCAGGCAGCGAGGACCCTCAGCTGATTTATCATAATATATATATATATATATAAAATATATTATTGTTACTAATTAAAAACATTATAATATGTATAGCCTTCTCTCTCTCTCCTGGCGATTGATTCAAACCAATGATGAAAAAATGTTGGGCATTTATATATATATATATTATTGTATATATCATATATATTATTCAAGAGATGGACTTTTTTGATGCTTATATACGTGTATATATATATGTAGATTATATGGATCCTCCATCCAATTTCTGATGTTTTTTTGTCCCAAGTCCCACTATAGTGTAATTTTCCCCTTGGGGTACTTTTTCTTTATTGGTTGCTAAGTCCCACCCTGAATGTTTTGGGAACATATGTGACCTGCCTCCTTTTAGGGCCAAACTGAACATCTGGACTTTTAAGCTTTGTTGCCTTGTCACTGTCACTCAGGAACATCAGCTGTTCCGTGTCTTTGATTCCTTATCGTTTGAAGATGAAGAAACTAACCGATTTGAAAGTGGCATCAACACCACTGGAGAGTTCAGCGAAGAGCAAAGCAAAGAGTTGATGTTACTCAGCTTGGGTTGTTTGTGAACCAGGGAAATGGGAACATTGTTATTTTATAGGCTCATTGTAGCTGTGTATTTACGATTACAGTTTTTAAAATTAAAGTTCACAATTCGGGGGTGTACCACATGAACACAACCATTAACATCTCCCAGACCAATTCTGATCCAATCCCCTGTTGCAGTCCTCGAACAAGCTTAGGCCGGTGATCCTGGCGGGCGCGAAGGAGTCTGGCTTATTTGGAGGGGGTGATGAGAGCCAGAACTTGCAAACACCTGGGGTTGGCAATAAAGGGGCTGGTAAGGGAAAGCCTGGTGCTTCAACAACTTTGAAACCCCAGAAACCCAAGAAGGTTGCAGGAATGAAGAAGCAAGTCCAGTCAAAGATTTCCGTTATTTCCACGAAGCTGACCGACCTTAAAGTCCTACGCAACAAGGTCGACAATTCCCCATTGACACTTGGTTTTGCATTGGTTTTTAGATTTCCTTAGTCCCAACTTAATATAACATTTGACAAGATTATTTACCTGGAACATAATACTTCGTGATATTAAGGTCAGCTGGCATGACGACTGGCTACATTGCCGAGTTGGATGCCCGTGACAGTGAGTTGCAAGCCAGCAAGTTGGAGCTGGAAACCCTTTACATGGTGGAAAAGGATGACTCGGAGATTGAAAGTGATCCTGTCACCAAAGATCAGTTCCAAAAGGCGTTGGATTCGGTGGATCAGCTCCTCCCCAGCTACAACACCACCATTCGATCTGTCAAGATGGCCATCGACTCTTAACTCCAGTACAACCCCCATTATATATGTATATACATATATATATATCTATATATGATCCCAAACATTTATCTATAATATATATATATATATATATATTATATATATATACATATATATATATACATATAAATTTATAAATATAGTTGTAAAGAAGATGTGCAAAAAATACACTGCAAGCTGACCCTTTCCATCTCTGAATGTGATTAAGGATCCTCCGAAGCCGAAAGCCAAAGGAAAGGCCAAGGCTGCTGCCAAGAAGGAGTGAATGAGTACATGTGAGTTTTCCATTTTGAGGTGTCTTCACCGCAGCCCTTAGTGCTAGGAAATCCTTTGCGGTTAGATCATTCCGAATTTCATGGGCCAATTCGGAGTGCTGCAGGTTTTTTTCCTGCCTGGGTGGTGGTATGGACCCTGATATATTAATCAACATCGATGCATAGACAGGTGGGCTGTGAAATCCAGCTGGATCACTTGTCGCGATCCTAGAGGAATCTTCGGGGAGTTGAAGCCAGTCGCATTGGCATGAAGACAAAAATGCTTCCTAGCAGGTGATTCCTAGTGAAGTTCCAGAAGGTTTTATAGAATCCCCATTCCCATATACATAATATTATATATAAATTGTGTTTGGTCCTCAAGATCCCACCTATATATGTATATGCAAATATATTATAAGAACTATATATATACACTATATAGTGCTTCATGTCAGATCCTTGCCCTTGCCCCACGCAGGTGCCTCTTCTTCATCATCGCAGCCTCGTCCAAGTACCAGCTCCTTCGAAGCAGCAGCGAAGAAATCACCCCTTTACAGCTATTTGCTTAAGAATGTAGGGCTGGGAGAAACTTGTCATTCCATTAAACAACAGTTTTATTATTGCCCATATACATTAAATTTCAACATCATGTTTTGGTTGATCAACTGATGTTTTTTTGTATCAAAATAAAACTTGGGTTCTGATGTCCAAACCTTGTCAAGCTATCAGGATTCTTCATTTCGAAAGGTGCATGAGACCATGAAGGTTGTGGCACAGGAATTCAAACACCAGGGCTATGAATTCAAGGGTCCATGTGCGCCACTGGCTCGGGGGAAGGATTCCCGAAATGCTGCTCGTGATATCCAACGAGGGTTTCAGAGACGTCAACTTGACCCGGTATCTTTGCAATATGATTGAAGACTTATTTTTTCTCCAGGTTTAAACTAGATCAAAAATTAAGGGGCATGTTCTCTAAACTTGAGCACTTTGGCCGGTGCAAACTAAGGTGCCTGTCCAAACGGTGGATGTTCCTGTTCAAAAAGAACGTGGGGTGAATGGCATTGAACCAAGGACCCCGAGAGGGGCCAATTGTAAACCAAACGATTGGGAAGATAATGTGCCTCAAGTTCCCACATGTCTTTTTTGTCGTCATCTAGACAAACATTCATGTAAACACCCCAACATGTTGCAGGAAGTATCCAGTAATACTACCTCATGAACTTCTTCCCTGGTTGCAGCGTAATGGAGCATTCCCTGATGTGGTGTCTGAGATCCCTATGTATTGGGCAAACATGGCGAAGCGATGCACTATTCCCAACTGCATTGATGTTCGAAGAGCTCACCCCCTGTATATTTGGGGAGATGACTGTCAGTACAATGAGCAATATGAGAAACTCATAGTTGTGGTCATGGGCCATTGTCTAGACCCTCGGACGTTCTCTATCGAATGCTGTTGGCCATTGTTCTGCTTGAGAGAAGTTTCCTTGGTGTCAATTGCGAATTTGATTGTTTGTTTCCCCCGAAAGATTTTGGATTTGTTGAAGTTATTAAATGATTTCTATGTTATAGAAGGTCATGCCATCTTGATGCATTGCGAGGTTCTTTCGATTGGGTTTCCCACTTTGTATGCCTTCCTAGAACCAGCATCTTGCCTTGATTGGTAAATGCAACATCCACTCTGATCCCATGGAACACGTGACACGTGTGGTACCTGTCCCGCAAGTGTGCTGTCCTTCCGGCTCAGGTAGTGAAAAGTATGGACCATCTTCTGCGAGGGGTGCCAATCCCACCTGCATTTGGCACCGGGCCACTGCAAGCACTGATCACCCAGGTGAGGGCAGATTGGAAATTCCACCGAGATATTTGGCTTTTTATCTATGACCAACCCTGGCTATAGAAACTTTTGGTGGTTGCATTGCAATTAATTATCAACTGATAAAATCATAGAAACCCTCCTAGGGATATCTATCTCTAGATAGATATTTATTTAAAACATATATACTAGGAATATAATCTAATAGGAACAGCCCAAGGTTTGAAACCAGGCCAGGGTTGAAATCTCACCAAAACCCATTCCAATAAATTTGGTACTATCTTTACTGGAATGAAAGTATCGTGTGGTGTTTGTTTTCGGGGACTTGTTTTGTTTTATCGATATAGTATTATATATTGGTGATTTTGCTTACAGCCATTCTGGAGTGATTTTGGGGATTGGGTCCTCGCTAGATTGAGGAGCAAGTTTTTTTTTTGGTGGTGGTTACAACAATGAAAACAATTGTGTAAGATTTACCCTATATATATATATTTAAAAAGCATAAAATGTAGTTCAAAAATAAAATGTGTTTTGGTTTAAGGGTTAAATTTACCTTTATCTGTAGATCTGGAGGCTAGCCAGAAAATGGAATGGTTTCCTACGTGGGGGCATATACATATTTATATACATATATATATATGAAACCCGACCCCACCCATCCAAAAAAATGATGATCTTAAGGTGCATTTTGCCCAGGCTCTACTTGGATGATTGTACATCAATGCATCTTCTGGACTGGGATTATGGTCCTACTTGATTGATCATGGTGTATCATTGGGGTTGCATTGAAACAGCAGTAACTTCACAAATCTAGGTTGCATACCCCACATCTTGCATATGTGTTTTTCCAACCCTGTTAGCACCAAGGAATGGCTGAACTTTCATGCGGGGTATTCGTCCACCCAGATTTGTCACCTTTGCAGAGCAACCAAGAACGATTACATGATGGCCCCTTCCCGGTTGAGTGTTTCTTTCAGGCACAATGATGACACTTTCAAGCAAGAGTCATTGAAACCTGGACCAAAGAGTTCCTCCTGGAATGATTGGCAAGATCTCAAATTTATATTTTCTGTGTTATTAGCTTAAGGCAGTTTCATTGGGGGCACCCACAAGTATATAGATTGTTTCAAGGTTTAACATATGATATTTTAAGGCCAAAATATATGTTTTGTGCAAAAATAACCATTACCGATAATAAAGATCAGGTCCCATTATCTCATTGCCGTGGTGGCGGCCGGAGTTTGTTGTGAAGTGGTGCGCTATGCACGTTCTTAACCTTGGTGTTTGCTTGCTGTCAACTGGAAGCACCATATCCGTTCTTGTCAACAAGTACAAGCACATATGGGGTGGTGAAGGTGATGTCTCTGCGCAGGATCGGTTGGCCATAGCTTATGAACGTTTCAGAAAATGGACCAGAGAGAACCGCATTGCGTATCTTGGTACATATGTTTGGGGAAAAATAGAACGTAAAAGCAACCCCTGAAATTTAGTAAATGCATTGTACTAGATTGGCTATTTGTTCAATGGCAATTTGGTCCATTGAGGCATTCACAACCGCGCTTCACCCCGAAACGACTTCGCAGTTATCAGCATCCTTACCCTGAGTTGGCAGCGAAGGCACACAATGCCTCTAGCTGGAACATTGGTTGAGTTTTTGATTCTTAGTTATCACATTCTTGTTTCCCTGCCCCACCTGAAACAGATGAGCCAGATCCAATTCAACCATGGCAGTCGCAATCTATCTTAGGCCAGGGTGGTCACTGGATGGCTTGCAGAAGTCTTGGTGCCACTTGCATCTGCTGACCCTGATGATGAGTATATTGGATGGATGACCACCCACATGTCTCTGTGCATATATGGTATATATGTTTGTGTGGTTTTCCCATGGGAGCTTTAGCAACACTATTACTGGGTGGTGCTTTGGGTTACTTTTTACTTTTTACGTTTTCAACAAGCCTAACCCTATTCGGAATGATCATCCCCAAATCAAAAGCGTGCCTAGGGTAGCTGAAATTTACTGCAGCTTGCCGGAGCCAAGGTGGTATTTGGCCCGATGGTTTTCTGTGCACGAGTCTGCTTCAAGATATTTGAGTGATGATGACATCAAAGTGTTCACTGAATGTTGTGATCCTTGTCTCTACTGGCATTACCAACCATTGCTTTTGGTATTTTCACAGTTCAGGTATCATATATATATATGTTTGTTTTATCAGAAACAAATTTCTGTTCGAAAAACACGGACAACTACAGGATGAAAGCATGAATGCGTACCTGAAGCTGGGGCATGCGGCCGTGCAAGCAGGTGAACTGCTTTGGCCATCTCGGCCAAAGCACCATGTAACTTCAATCTCAATTTTACATTTTTTGAATTTTGGATACCCCCCACTGAGGAGTTCAATGTGGGATAGGTCTGTTAAGCATGAAGGGATTTCCTATAGCTAATAATTGAGGTACCATCCCATCATCCAAGTTTAGAATTAGATGGTTTAGTATATATATATACATATATTGAAACAATATTGTTTTAAGGATACCCCATTTCAAGAAACAGATATATATATATACACATATTATATATTTATAGTGGCTATGGAAGGGTTAATCTTTAATGTGTACGGGATGAGAGAGAGAGAGATATATATATATATATGATCTCGTGGTTGTTTCTATAGCCTAAGTTCAAAGCAACCCAGGGGTGGCAAGAGATCCTCCATGCGGAGACAACTCAAAGAGTCATGGTATCATATATGCAAAGGTTTATTTTGGGAAATTTATGTTTTCAGGATCTTGTAGCAGGTTCCCTTTGTTCCAAATCGCTAAGAATCAGCTAGCCAGGAGAAAATTCGAGACTATACCACGCTTTTAAGTGTGAGGATTTCGTGGGCAGATTGAGTGACCTTGCTGGCCAATGCAACAAGGGCAAGCTTGAGTATGCAATCCTCCCAAGGTTTTACATGGGGCCACTTGTTGGATGATATGTTAGTATTTTTTTGGTGTAGGAATGCTGGGAAACCTGTACACAAACTCAAAAAAATGCTCTTTTGTCAACTGTGCCTCACCTGAGGCTGTCGCAACATCATGAGCACAAGTCTATGGATGTGGGGGTCTGACAGGTAAAGAGTTGCAATGGCGACCGGAAAAAAAGGCTGTTTCCCAACGACCTGCTCAGCAGGTATTTGGACCCCAATACTTGCTGAGCGTGTATTCCTATTTCGAAAGCCTGCTCAGAAGCATTTTGGGATGCTTAGGGTCTATATATCTATCTATCTATCTATCGATCTATCTCTCTCTCTCTCTTTCATCTAATTACCTATCTATCTATCTGTGTGTCTGTCTATCTATCTATCTATCTATCGATCTATCTATCTATCTATCTCTCTCTCTCTCTATCTCTCTCTCTTTCATCTGTCTATCTGTCTAGCTGTCTACCTGTCTATCTGTCTATCTATCTATCTGTCTATCTGTCTACCTGTCTATCTGTGGTGCAGTGTCATTCAGTGTAATGTAGTGTAGTGTAATGTAGTATAGTGTAGTGGGATGTAGTGTAGTGTAGTGTAATGTAGTGTAGTGTAGTGAAATTTCGTGTAGTGGAGTGTAGTTGTGTAGTCGTAGGTCCGGAAAATTGGTGCTTCGGGATTTTGACTAAACCGCGAAATTTTCCCGAAAATTGGTGCTTCGGGAGGTCGACTCAACCGCGACTTTTGGCAGAACAACTCGCATCGCAATGCCTGATTTGGGGGTACCCGAATTTTGGGACAACGGGATGCTTGTCGAAAAAGTGGGCGCTCCGGTCGGAAACCACGTATTTATAGCCGGAATTGATGCAATATACCAGTAGTACCGCACAAGGAGGTGGCGGAAGTTTCAAAAATAGGAAACCTATAGGAGAGATTGGTTGTTGTGAATCTGGGATGGCAGAGCGAATCCATTGATGGACCGAAAGGTGCTTGAAAGGTGCTTGAGGTCTCCTCTCTTTCTCTCTCTCTTTCTCTCTCTTTCTCTGACTCTCTACCTACCTACCTATCTATCTTCTATATATCTATCTATCTATCTATCTATCTATCTCTCTCTCTCTCTCTTTCATCTAATTACCTATCTGTCTGTCTATCTATCTATCTATCTATCTATCTATCTATCTATCTATCTATCTCTCTCTATCTCTCTCTCTCTCTCTCTTTCATCTGTCAATCTGTCTAGCTGTCTACCTGTCTATCTATCTGTCTATCGATCTATCTATCTATCTATCTCTCTCTCTCTATCTCTCTCTCTCTCTCTTTCATCTGTCTATCTGTCTAGCTGTCTACCTGTCTATCTGTCTATCGATCTATCTATCTATCTATCTGTCTACCTGTCTATCTGTGGTGCAGTGTCATTCAGTGTAATGTAGTGTAGTGTAATGTAGTATAGTGTAGTGGGATGTAGTGTAGTGTAGTGTAATGTAATGTAGTGTAGTGAAATTTCGTGTAGTGGAGTGTAGTTGTGTAGTCGTAGGTGTAGTTGTAGTGTAGTGGAGTGTAGTGTAGTGTAATGTAGTGAAGTGTAGTGGAAGGTAGTGTAGTGCAATGTAGTGAAGTGTAGTGGAAGGTAGTGTAGTGTAGTGGAGTGTAGTGGAGTGTAGTTCTGTAGTTGTAGCTGTAGTTGTAGTGTAGTGGAGTGTACTGAAGTGTAGTGTAATGTAGTGAAGTGTAGTGGAAGGTAGTGTAGTGTAGTGTAAAGTAGTGTAGTGTAGTGGAGTGTAGTGTACTGTAATGTAGTGTAGTGTAATTGAGTGGAGTGTAGTGGAGTGTAGTTGTGTAGTTGTAGTTGTAGTGAAAGTTGTAGTGTTGTGGAGTGTAGTGTATTGTGATGTAGTGTAGTGGAGTGTAGTATAATGTAATATAATGTAATGACGCGAAGCGAAGCGATATTTGAATTGTTAACAGTGATTCGAACCCTGGTGGTTTTAATATTTTGATTTTGAAATGTATTTCGTAATAACGGTATATATTTTTTTGATATTTTGATTTTTAAAAATGGTGCGAATATGTGGTATTTAATATATAATTTTTAAATATATTTT